AGTGGTGGGCCTCAGAGAACAGCTGCCGTCTGAATGGCTGTCCAATTCAACTTCCACCTATCTATTTCACAATTTGGAGCGATGCCTCAAAAAAGGGCTGGGGCGCAGCCTACCAGGGGATTTCCACCGGGGGCCATTGGACTGTGGAAGAGGCGAAGCGGCACATCAATTTCTTGGAGCTACAAGCAGCAACATAGGCTCTGAAAGCACTTCTGCAGTCCCAAGAACCTCAACATCCACCGCTCAGACATATTCACTTGAGAATAGACAACACCACAGCGGTGGCGTATTTCAACAAGAGAGGGGGCACGCACTCACCTGCTCTGACTGCACAAGCCTTGGAGTTGTGGGCAGTGGCCTTGACAGCAGGAGTATCACTGATGGCTCAGAATATTCCAGACATTCAAAATGTGGTAGCAGACACAGCCTCCAGGCAGATCGTGACCAGAACCGAATGGACATTGGACAGGAAGATCTTCCAGTCCATTTGTCAGAGATTCTACACACCAGAAGTGGACCTCTTTGCATCCCGTTGAAACCACCAAGTACCCAAGTATGTCTCGAGGTACCCAGATCCGGGGTCTCTGGCTGTGGATGCATTCCTCCTGGACTGGGGCAAATGGACTTGTCTAATCCATCCTCCCGTAGTCCTTCTACCTTGGATACTGAGGAAGATTAAAGAGGATGAAGCAACTGCAGTCCTCCTAATCACCCCGAACTGGACCGGACAGCCATGGTTTCCAGACCTCATTCAGATGCTGGTGGATCGCACACTGCTGCTACCCCAGCGCCAATCTCTATTGTTTCTCCCATTTCAGCCAACAGCATACCATCCCCTGTGGAAGTCCCTTCATCTAACAGTTTGGCCGCTATCAGGGAATGTTACCAAGCAACAGGCCTTTCAAAGGAAGTTGTTGACATCTTGTTGGCCTCATGGGGAACGGCCACCCAGAAGCGGTACTCACGCCCCTGGAAGGCATGGATACGCTGGTGTTCTCAACGGGGTTCCTGTCCCATTTCAGCCTCTGTAGCAGAGGTTCTTGCATTTCTTGCATTCCTAGTTACACAAGGGAATTTGGAATACAGGAATATAGCTCTCTATAGGTCAGCTATTTCTCAGGCTGATGACCCTGTTGGTTCTACTCAGTTTGGAAGTCTCCCCATTGTGGCTCGTTTTATGAAAGGGGTGTTCAAGATTAAACCCCCCAAACTTAGATACTGCTCTACATGGAATGTTAAGACTGCCTTGTCATTCCTAGAGTCCCTTGAATCCTTAGAAGAATTGACACTAAAGTAGCTTTGTTATAAAACTGTTTTATTATTAGCACTGATTTCAGCAGCAAGAGCTCACGAACTGTCCGCATTGGACTTGACGTATTCTCTCAGAAAAGAGGGATCATGGGAATTTTCACTCCCCACCCATGTGAAGAACTCCAGACCTTGTCACCCTGCTCGGAAGTTAAGTTCTTTTCTTGCAATTCCCAGAGAATCCCAAGATTTGTGTTGTTCGTAGTCTTACCGCTTATGTGGAGAGGACAAAAGGATTACGGAAATCCACCCAACTATTAGTGTCATTTACAGACACTGGTCATTTATCTCTCCGCACAAGGCAATTTCAAATCAGTCAGTCTCTCGGAGGCTGTCAAGAGCCTTGCGTATGGCTGGAATTGAATTGAATCACACTGCACACTCGCCTAGGGGAGCGTCTACCTCTGCCACTGCTGCGGCAGGACTGTCTGCTGATCTTATCTTGGAAGCGACAGACTGGGCTTCTGTGTGGACCTTTGAACGGTTGTATCACAGAGAGTCATCTGCTGGTGCCTTCGCAAGGGCTGTGCTTAATGGTTAGATTTACCAAATCGCGGATTACCTCCTTGTTATACAGTTTCCAGGAGGCTTTGTATTGTTGCAGGACATTAAGTTTTTACCTAGCCTCATTTGAGTATTTATTATTCATTATGGTTGTGTTACTTTGCCTTATCCTATTTGCAGGAGGCACCGTATTGTTTTAGGACCTTAAGATCTCATCCAGTTTCATGTAGTATTATTAAATTGTTATGGTTGTGTTACTTTACCTTGTCCTACTCGCTTGGCGGTATTGCTTTGGTAAACTGCACCAGTATTGCGGCTGTCAGTCGGAGAAGGGTGAAGGAGAAATTATATTTCCCAGGAGGGTTACTTACCTGATAGGGAGATGTGGTTCTCCGAACCCCTCGTAGACTGATATGAGCAATACTGGTCCCCAGGCCATTGGAATATGTCTTTTCCTCCCCACCCTTGTACTGCCAATCGACATGGCCTCACCCACCACGACTCAGAGGCACAGCGCATGCGCACCTTTTCTTTTATAATGTGGTATCCAGGCCGCGACCGTGCGACAAATGCACCAGTATTGCTCATATCAGTCTACGAGGGGTTCGGAGAACCACATCTCCCTGTCAGGTAAGTAACCCTCGGGGGAAATATAGTTTCCCTGCAATTACTTTGACAATTTAGCAATTGTATTGTATCTCTGTCACTTCTTGTTCATCACTGTGTTCTTTAAACTCTTGCTTTAGTACAATTTTTGAGTGTTGTTTGTGTGTGAGCCTGAATAAAATTAATGAAGTAAAAATTCTTACTTACTATCTTTACTTAAAAGATAGTACTCTTCCTCTTGATTCAATCACCTCCTCGAAATTGTATTGGAAACTTATAGAGATTATTCAGGTCTGTCCTTCAACACGGCATAAATTTAGTACCTTGTTGCTGCGCAGCGAGGGTAGCGAGCGAAGCAGCAGTTATAATCTTGCTTATAAGGCAATAAGAGCCTCAAATTCTCGATTTCTTCTGTTTTACATTTTGTACCACAATCCCTTGCGTTTAGTTACATTCTTTACCGCAATTCCTTGCGGCAAGTAGGAAGCCATTGTTTGTGCTCGATCCTCTTCGATCTTCAGCTTCGTGATCAGTGTGAGTATATATTCTTTACAATCTATTTCCCTTCCATTTAACGTTTTGCGTTCATTCCTGTGCTACTCAGTTATCTCACTTCATTTGAGTGCCTTCTGTTGAATTATTTACAGTTAACGATCTATTCGAATTCTTCTTTTCGATAGGTTTTGGATCTTCGTTACCATCAGTGTGAGTATGTTCTTGGCAAATACCTAACTTATTTTCCTTTCATTTAACGTTTTGCGTGCATGCCAATGCTATTTACTTAACTCACTTCATTTGAGTGCCTTCTGTTGAATTATTTACAGTTACCGATCTAATCGAATTCGTCTTTTCGATAGGTTTTGGAACTCGTCTTCGTCATCAGTGTGAGTATTCTTTGCAATTTAACTTATTTTCGTTTCATTTAACGTTTTGCGTTCATTCCTATGCTATTTACTTATCTCACTGCATTTGAGTGCTTTCTGTTGAATTATTTTCAGTCACTGTACTGATTCGATCGAATTCGTCGATAGATAGGGTTTTTGAGTTATTTTTTTGTAAAAAAAATACCTCTTAGTCGGCGCGTCGGGTATGTTATGGACGGGT